CCGCCCCGCCCCTCTCCTCCCCTTCCCTCTCCTACTCCGCCCCGCCCCTCTCCTCCCCTTCCCTCTCCTACTCCGCCCCTCCTGTTCTCTCCTCTCCTCCGCTCCCCACGTCTGCTCCTGTCCTCCCTTAACGGCCGCGTCGCCCCCGAGGGCCCTTCCGGGGAGTTAGCGCTCCTACCAGTAATTCTGGTGTCAGCCGAGAGGGAGGCGGTCTCCGCCTCTGCGTCGGGAGATACCAACTGAGCCCTCGGGAAATGCCAGTTGCCACCCCGGAGACACCCAGGTCGCAGAGCATTAGGCAATTGCAGGTCATCTGCAGTGAGCTCTGACTCACCCAATCCCTGCAGCTATAAATATTTGCATTTCCTGACTACCTATGGGTCCCCAAATTGCCCTTTATAAAATTAATGAAGAGCCACAGGCAGGAACTGTGACAGGATATATCTATATCTATATCTATATCTATCTATCAGGCACCGTCCCCCAGCCTGCTTTCCTATGACTGCTCACCACTCAGGAGTCGTAGCTGATGGTAGTAAAGATTCTTAGCGTTCTTCATTGATCCCACAGGTAACATCACGCTTGTGAAATCTAAGGCTAGTTTTTGAGATATTCAGCGCACAGGCCCAGACCAATGGCCCATAGGAAGAACAGACTCAAATGGTCTTGAGACAGGACAGCACAAAAAGGCAATTTCTACACACCTATGATTCTGCCCCGAACCCAGCAGATCCAATTGCCTAACTCTTTGCCCACCAAACTATTGTATCTTTAAAAATCCTTTCTCTCAAACTCTTGGGGAGACAGATTGGAGAATATCCCATTTCCTCTAATGGTGCCTGCAATATTACCGCTTTCTCTGCTATGACTCTGCTGTCTCAGTGTATAGCCTCCCTCCTGAGCAGTAGGCAAAGAAGTGGGAAGGCGGAGGGCGGTAACAGTACAGGCATAGCTTGTTTTACTGCACTTAATACATACTGTTTACAAATTGAAGGCTCCTGACAACCCTCCTTTGAGCAAGTCTACCAATGTCATTTTTCCCACAGTATGTGCTTTGTGTCTCTGTGTCACATTTCAAACTTTGTTATGGTGATCCGTGATCAATGAGCGTCAATGTTTCTGCTGCAATTGTTTCGTGATCTTAACTGATCAACGTGTGTTCTGACTGCTCGGATAAGTTACCAGTTCTGGGCCTCTCTCCCTCTTCTCCAGCCTTCCTTATTCCCTGAGAACAACAATATTGAAATTGGGCCTATCACTAACCCTATAATAGCCTCTAAGAGTTAAAACCAAAGAAAAATTCATACATCTCTTACTTCAAACAAAAGGTGGAAATGATTAAGCTTAGTAAGGAAGAGATATTGAAAGCCAGGCTGAAAGTTAGGCCTGGTGGTGCTAAACCTTTAGCCAAGATATTAATGCAATGAAAAGTTCTTGAAAAAATTTTAGTTTAATCATAGGGCTGGGGCCGGTGGTATAATCTTAGCACTCTGAGAGGCCAAGGCAGGTGGATTGCTTCAGCTCAGGAGTTCAAGACCAGCCTGAGCAAGAGCAAGGTCCCATCTCTAATAAAAATAGAAAAACCAGTCAGGCATTGTGGTGGGCGCCTGTAGTCCCAGCTACTCGGGTGGCTGAGGCAGGAGGATCACTTGAGCCAAGAGATTGCTGTGAGCTATGATAAGACCACAGCACTCTACCCAGGGTGACAGAGTAAGACTCTGTCTAAAAAAAAAAAAGTGCTACCCTAGTAAACAAATGGTGAGAAAGCAAAATAGCCTTATTGCTGATAAGGAAAAAGTTTAAGTGGTCGGGGTAGAAGATCAACCCAGCCACAATATTCCTAAATTTAAGCCAAAACCTAAAGCTAGAGTTAGCAAGGCTCTAACTCTGTCCACTTCTATGAAGGCTGAGAAGTGAGAAAGCTGCAGATGAACAGTTGGAAGCTAGCAGAGGTTAGTTTTATGAGGCTTAAGGAAAGAAGCCATCTTCATAACATGAAAGTGCAAGGTGAAGCACCACGTGTGGGCACAGAAGCTGTAGCAAGTTCGCCAGAAGACTCAACTTAGATCACTGAAGAAGGTGGCTGCTCTAAACAACAAATTTCCAATGTCGATTAAACTTCCAAAATATTGGTGGAACATGCCATCTGGGCCTTTCATAGCTAGGGAGGAGAAGTTAGTGCCTCAAAGCTTCAAAAGACAGCTGACTCCTATTAATGTAAAAAAAAAATTAATGAGGTTTATACTTTGGAAAAGATGAGCTTTACTTCTTATAAAAGGTAGCAGCCTGTTGGGAAGCTATTCCAACCAGCTGGGAAGCAGAGCCCCAACCAGAAGCCAAGCACATGTGCTTCAAAGAAGAGACAAAAAGACTGGGCACACTGCTCACACCTGTAATCCCACCCAGCACTCTGACAGGCTGAGGTAGGAGGATTGCTTGAGCTCAGGGATTTGAGACCAGCCTAGCAAGAGCAAGATCCCATCTCAACTAAAAAAGTAGACTAGCGGAGCATTGTGGTGGGCATCTGTAGTCTCAGTTACTTGGGGGAGGCTGAGGCAAGAGGATTGCTCAAGCCTAAGAGTTTGAGGTTGCTATGAGCTTATGATGCCATAGCGCTCTACCCAGAGTGACAGAGTGTGACTCTGTCTCAAAAAAAGAAAAAAAAAAACCAAGATTTTATACTGAGCAGGGTACTCAAATATACATATTCACCAAGCTGTATGAGTAATCATGAATATTTATGAAAGGAAATCATGCCCATGGTATAATTTTGCCTTATCTCTCCTAGGAACTCAGTTTTAAATTGTTTCTAGGATCCCCTTTGCCAAGAGGGGTCCATTCAGTTAGGATTTTATTTTTAGTTCACAATCTCTTTTCTTTCTTTTAAATTGAGGCAGAGCTTTATTGCCTTCATTAGAGTGCTGTGGCATCATAGCTCACAGCAACTTCAAATTCTTGGGCTCAAGTGATTCTCTTGCCTTAACCTCCCTAGTAGCTGGGACTACAGGTGCCTGCCACCACACCCAGCTATTTTGTTGTTGAGAAGGCCCAGGCCGGGTTAGAACCCACCAGCCCTGGAGCATGTGGCTGGCACCCTAATCACTGAGCTATGGGTGCTGCCACTTCACAATCTCTTCATAGGAACTGGTGACTTTAAATAGAAGCAACTGTTCACTTACCATTCTCAAAATCCTAGGGCCCTTAAGAATTACACAAAATCTACTCTGCCTGTGCTCTATAAATGGGAACAACAAAGCCTGGATGACAGCACATCTGTTTATAGGACAGTTTACTGAATATTTTAAGCCCACTGTTGAGATCTAATGCTCAGGAAAAAAAATTCTTTTCAAAATATTACTGACAATGCATATGGTCACCCAATAGCATGGATAACAGTGTCTAAGGAGATCAATGCTCTTTTTATGCCTGCTAACACAACATCCATTCTGCAGCCCACAGATCAAGGAGAACTTTTGACTTTCAAATCTTACTGAGAAATATATTTCATAAGGCCATAGCTGCCATAGTGATTCTCATGATGGATCTGGGCAAAGTATATTGAAAATTTTCTGGAAGGATTCACCATTCTAGATGCCAGTAAGAACACTTGTGATTCATGGGAGGAAATAAAAATATCCATATTAACAGGCATTTGGAAGAACTTGATGTCAACCCTCAGGGATAATTTTGAGGGGTTCAAGACTTCAGTGAAGAAGTAACTGCAGACGAAGCAGAAATAGCAAGAGAACTAGTTTTAGGAGTGGGCCTGAGGATAAGATTGAATTGCTGTGATTTCTTGTTAAAACTTTCACAGATGACCAGTTTCTTCCTGCCTATGCCTGAGCATAGAGGTGGTTTCTTGAGATGGAATCTACTCCTGGTGAAGATGCTGTCAACACTGTTCAAATGACAACAAAGGATTTATAATATTCCATAAATGTAGTTGATCTCACCACATCAGGAAGATGTAGATAAAATGTTATCAAACAGCATCATATGCTACAGAAAGATCTTTCACAGAAGGGAGAGTCAGTCAAGGCAGCAAACTTACTGTCTTACTTTTAAGAGATTGCCACAGCCACCCCAAACTTTCAGCAATCATCACCTCGATCAGCCAGCAGCCATCAACACGAGGCAAGACCCTCCACTGGCAAAAAGATCATGAGTTGCTGAAGGTTCAGATGATCTTTATCATTTTTTAGCAATAAAGTATTTTTTAAATTAAGGTATGCATTTTTAAGACATAATGCTAATGCAAACTTACAATAGACTACACATAGTATAAACATAACTTTTATATGCACTGGGAAACAACAACAAAAAAATTGTGTGAATTGCTGTATTGCAGTGGTCTGTAACCAAACACAAAGTGTCTCTGAGGTATGCCTCAGTGAAAGTTACTTTATAGGACTTGCGATAATTTATTTTAATGCACTTTGTTTGGATAGGGGATTTGGGTTACAGTAAACTGGAGGCAACTCCTAGATGTTCAACGCTGGCTTTCACAGGTGAGAGTTACACTGGGAAGAAATCAAGCAGAGATTTGTAGAACAGGATCTGTAAATAATGGTTTCTCCAGAGGCAGAGCATGTTGTTGTTGTTGTCATCACAAAATGCCACCCAGTGTGCTAATTAGGTGCAATGGGGAGTTCAATGTTGGATTTAATTTAGCCCCTTCTTGGATGTTTGGTTATTGCAAAAAATTTACTTTGATAACTCTTGCAGATGAAAGGATGGTCTTCCGTTCTGTTAACTCCTCTGGACCTTATTTAAAACATAACCAACTTCACACTGGGAAAAAATTTAAATGTGTCTTGGCACCATTTCTAATACATTAAAATAAGTATAGGGATATTTAAGAAATAAGTATAAGGGACTTGTCTCATAAATACGATACCATTATCTTAGAGGTAAAAATAAAATCTAACTTGGTAGCTTTTCTTTTTTTTTTTTAGTGTTAAATTTATTTATTTTTTCTGAGACAGAGTCTCATTTTGTAGCCCTTGGTAGAGTGTCGTGATATCACATGGCTCACAGCCACCTCATACTTTTAGACCCCAGCAATTCTCTTGCCTCAACCTCCCAAGTAGCTGGGACTGCAGGCACCTGTCACAATGCCTGGCTATTTTTTGGTTGTAGTTGTCATTTGGCAGGCCCGAGCTGGGTTTGAACCCACTACCTTCAGTGTATGTGCCCTAGCCACTGAGCTACAGGCGCTGAGCCATGTTAAAAGAATTTTTAATGTATGAAACTAAATTCTATCAGTGACATTATATATGCACAGGTTACTTTCTTAGATCAAAATCATTATAGCTAAATTCACTTTTAAATATAAGGTTCCCTGAAGCTGGGCCAGTTTGAATGGCTTTTCATGCTACTAAGAGTCCCTACTTCAACACCCTGTGCTAATTCCATCATAATATTCATCACATAGTATTTTAACTACCAATTTACCAGTCTCCCACCAGACTGGAGGCTGAGAGCAAGGACTGTCCACTTCGTCTTGAGTAGTACACAAAGCAACTTACTTGCAATGAGTAATGAACAATATTTCTATTCAATAGTCTGCATTTGTCCATCAAGTATTCTTGTCTATAGTCTGACTTAAAATCCTCAAATTTAAACAAGAAAATTATACCAAGGCTTTAGTTTATGCTAAATCATTTTAAAAACTGAACCTCTGAGGCATTTTATTATAAAAAGTTGGCACTCATATACATAAACTAATATGAACTTAAAATTCATTATAAGTTTACTTCATTTTTTAGCTTGACCTTCTAGTAAATCTTTAGCTTCATTGATTTTGGCTGCTATATAAGGAGATCCTCCTTTGTCTGGGTGATTTAAGAGCATAATTCGTTGATGAGCATCTCTTATTTTCCCTTTATTGGCAGTAGGGCTTACACCTAGTGTTAATGCTACTTCCCGTTTTGTCATTTTGGGTTGAAACCCACCTCTGTAATAGCCACCACTAAAGGCAGATTTTGGCAGACTCTGAAAAACTTGTTTTACTTGAGGCTCCATATGCTTCATGGCTTGCAAAATGTAACGACCTGCAAATCCTACAGCAGCAATGGTTAGTCCAACTGCTACCACTGTACTGGCCATGGCTCCGGCTCAGCTCCCCTACCTCCCCTGGGAGTGCGGATCATCCCAGCCAGGAGGTCGCGACCACTGAATGCGCGCCTTCACCGGTGAGCTTGGTAGCTTTTCTTACCTGTGCTTGTAGTTCAAAAGTTTTACTTGGTCATTAAATTAAGTACAAAATCAAGAAAAGGTTTAGACAAAGCCATTTTCTGTTCATTTCATTGTGTACATAAAATATCTCAGAAATTACTATCTTAGTAACTTATTCTATGATTAAAACATGGAATACCATTATCTTCCTTGTATGGTGGTTGTGATGACTGAATTAAATGACTGTATAGTACTCAGAACACTGCCTGCCATAAAAATAAAAAGATCTCAATGAATATTGGTTACTGCCTTTTTTTTTTTTTTGAGACAGAGCCTCACTATGTCACTCACAGTAGAGTGCTGTAGTGTCACAGCTCATAGCAACCACAAACTCTTGGGCTTAAGTGATTCTCTAGCCTCAGTCTCCCAAGTAGCTGGGACTACAGGCACCTACCACAATGCCCAGTTATGTTTTTTTTGTTGTTGTTGTACTTGTCATTGTTGTTTGGCAGGCCCAGGCTGGGTCCCAGACCGTCAGCTTTGGTGTATGTGGCTGGCGCTATAACCATTGTGCTACCAGCACTGAGCCTTGCTATCTTCTAATACTCACTGAAAGCAGGACTGGCTTTCTCCTGGTTTCCTCAGTACTTAGCCCAGCTGCTGAGCATTTAGGAATTGCTCAATAAATATTTAGCCATTGAATCGGCTTCAGTGTTTTAACATTTTGGCACTCTGAATTTTATCCAGTTTGAATGAGTTACCTGATCACCAGAACTCCTGTCCTTTTGCCTCACTTTCAGGATCTCTGAGTCCTCAAAACACTTCTTCTACAGGAATGGAACCCCAACTGGCTGACCTTCCACTTAATTGAACAGAGCCGATGAAAAGAATTCGTTATCTTTTTCTCCATAGTATGCTAGTACCTCAGAATATTACTTCTATACAGTCTATGTGGTTATATATTTTACTGTATAACTTTATATTGTCTTATCTTAAAACACAAATACAAAATATTTTCTTGGCCAGGTGCCATGGCTTACACCTGTAATCCTAGCACTTTGGGGGGCTAAGGTGGATGGATTGCTTGAGCTCAGGAGTTAGAAACCAGCTTGAGCAAAAGCGAGACCCTGTTTCAAGTAAAAAAAATAAATAAATAAAATAAATAGAAAACTAGCTGGGCGTTGTAGTGAGGACCCATAATCCTACTCAGGAGGCTGAGGCAAGATTTTCATTGTGTACATAAAATATCTTGTAATCCTAGCTACTCTGGAGGCTGAGCCCAAGAGCTTGAGGTTGCTGTGAGCTAGGTTGAGGCCATGGCACTCTACCCAGGGCATCAGAGTAAGAATCTGTCTCAAAAACAAAATATTTCCTTGGGTAATTATTTCAGAATTATAAATGTGTAATTTTAGCCTTTGAAAGCAACACTATCCACAGTAAAATGGTTGCATGCCTGGGATTGGCAAACAGTCTACCCAAGTTCTAATGCCAGTTTCATTATTAGCTGTCAGACACTGAGGATGGGTAATGAGGCATAGCACCAAACCTACTCCTTTTTGAGACAGTAAATGCCAAACTCCTGGAGCAGTACCTAGCCCATTGTAAGCTTTTGGCACATTACTTTTAGCTACTGTAGATTACCTAAACCACCCCTCAAACTATGGTCTATGAATTAGCAATATTAACATCATCTGGGAACTTGTCTACTGCAAATTCTTGGGTCTACCCCAGAACTACAATACAAAACTCGGGGGGTGAAGTTCAGCCATGTGTTTTAACAAGTTCTCCAGTGATTGTGATGTTTGCTTGTGTTTGAGAACTATGAACACGGATTGGAATCCTACCAAGGTCTTTCCTCTCAAGAAGAAAAAGCAAATCCACTGTTTGAAGATAATTCAGACACACTAAGTTAATTGAGAGGACAGCTTGGTTCTTCCTCATTTTATAGCATTTATTTAGCTGAGGGTGAGGGTCTTAGCTTGTTTCCTATTATAGGACTGAAATATATGGAATAAAACTAAGGTCAGAGATAATAAAATTTAAATTTTGGCCACTGTTTTCATTGTTTACTCCACTGTTTCTTCTTACAGAAATCGTAAAAATACTAAATTTTCTGTGATTCTGATTATTATACTTTTTTTTTTTTTTGAGACAGAGCCTCAAGCTGTCCCCCTGGTAGAGTGCCATGGCATCTCAGCTCACAGCA